CTGTGCTGGGCCCCATGCTGTTCACCCTGTTTATTAACGACATCGAGGAGGGTGTGAATAGTAATGTTTCAGTGTTTGCTGATGATACCAAAATCGGGAGGGTAATAGACACGGACCTAGACAGTTTAACATTACAGGAGGACCCGGATAAAATAGGGGAGTGGGCTAATATATGGCAGATGAGGTATAATGTCGATAAATGCAAAGTAATGCACTTTGGAAATAAAAATAAACAAATGGGTTGTACAATTATGGGTATGCCGCTAGGGAAGTCAGAATAGAAAAAGATTTGGGGGTCATTGTAGACCACAGATTGATTAATAGCTTGCAGTGCCAGGCTGCGGTAAACAAAGCAAGTCAAGTCCTGTCTTGTATTAAATTGTGCCACTTTACAGATCACTGGTTCGGCCTCATCTGAAATATGTGGTCCAGTTTTGGTCACAAGTCCACAGAAAGGACGCCCTTGAGCTTGAAAGAGTTCAGCGGAGGGCAACCAAACTAATTAGGGGTATGGAGGACCAGAGCTATGAGACACGACTACTAAATTTAAACATGTTCACGCTGGAAGTAAGGAGATTAAGGGGGGACATGATTTTCATGTACAAATTGTTCAATGGTGGTAGCAACGTTAGCAACAAACTGTTTACAATTAACTCCGTAACAAAGACTAGAGGCCACCCCCTAAAATTGGTGGAAAAGAAATTCCAGCACAAGGGGCGAAGGGGGTTCTTCACAGTTAGAGCGGTTAGGGTCTGGAACTCGCTGCTGGAGGCAGTGTTGAATAATTCAAGAAACTTTTGGACGATTTCCTGAGAAACCATAACATACAGGGGTACAGGTACACTTAAGAATGAACTGATACAAGGACCTGTGTGTGTATGTGTGGGTGTTTATGTATGTATGCATGTGTATGTATGTATGTGTATTATATATATATATATATAATGTGTGTGTGTGTGTGTGTGAGTGTATACATATGCACACATCAGCAAATAGGTTGGACTTGATGGACTTATGTCTTTATTCAATCTCACATACTATGTAACTATGTATGTAATATGGTGTTAGCGTTGCATAGGTGTAACATCTGCCTGGAAAGTTTAGATTAGTAATCCAGCAAGCCTAAGGTCCGTTTCACACCACTTAAAGTGCACTCCAGCACGATTAACTGCTGGAACGCACTGGATCGCATTAGAAAAACCTCCCTGCGTTCTG